TTCCGGTTTTCAGTTCGTATCCATTTGTTCATTTCCATACCATTTCCATATCCATATCCATTTGTTCATTTCGTATCCATTTTCAGTTCGTATCCATTTGTTATTATTAATAATAATAATAATAATAATAATAATAATAATAATAATGATAATAATGATAATAATAATAATAATAATAATAATAATAATAATAATAATAATAATAATAATAATAATAATAATAATAATAATAATGAAAACTTTATTAATAGAACATTTATAGATATATACAATTCTAAATCTCACTTCTTGAGTATTTAGGCCCCGTTTACACTGTATCCTTAAGGGAACTCAAGAGAAATCTCTCGAACAATACGAGAACGCTACGAAAACGGTACAGTTTTTATATACAAAAATTGTTAATTATTTATAAAAATAGTTACTTTAAATGTTCATTAGTTCGGGATTTGTCCATTCTTTATTTCTACAGCAAAATATGTAATACGTTGATCGGATGGCAATAGATATCATTTTTCTGATACAATATTGTTGGTGTTGATTATCCAGTCCTAACTCATTTAGCATTTTTACGAATGTATGGCATTCTTTGTCAAACACCCCTAGCGAACTGACTGAAAGATTTATAAATTTAACAGATGTAAAGTTTTGATCTAGTTCTCTAATTAGGTTCTTATATTTAGCTTTCTTGCGGTTAACATTGTTTGTGGGGTTTGATTCAAAGCCTACGGTAAGTTCAACAACGTAGAGGTGTTTGTCTGAAGTGGAGACAAGTAAATCAGGACGATATTCATCACCCGTAATAATCGAGTGGCTTTCAAATCCAGGAATTAGATCAACAAGTAATTTGCATTTGTTTAAACTTTGAAAGGTTTTTGCAAGAAACTTTAGTATGCAATCGTGTCTCCAAGTAAATCGTTCCAAGTAATGTTGTAATAATAATAATAATAATAATAATAATAATAATAATAATAATAATAATAATAATAATAATAATAATAATAATAATAATAATAATAATAATAATAATAATAATAGTAATAATAATAATAATAGAAAAAATTAAATTTTTTTGCTGGTAACCTTGCAATTCAGAGAGGTATTCAAATTTAATTCGCGCAGCGTATTCAAGGCAATAAACAAAATAACGGAAATCAGGGTGCGGTTACGTACCGGAGGTACTCCAATATTACGGTCTTTGTTTTCAGCCTAGAATTAACCACGTATAATAGAATTAACCATGTATATAGGTACGCGAAACTCTTGCTATCCGCTTACTTACATTTACACTTACCACATGACCTTTTCAAGCTCCAGGTATTTCAAAACCATGATTTGGTTGGTAAATAATTATGTAAGTATGACTTATGTTGGCATGAAATACATACAATTGGACTAATGGGACTATGGAGTCAATTGTTGTGTTTGTATATGCAATTGTTATCTTTGTTCTAACTCGTAGTTTTAGGATACTCAATGAATCCCGTTCAGAATTTCGTTAAAGACTAAGTACATCTTGAGTCATCTCGTACCAGCTCAGGTACGCGGCAGTATAACCATTGGACTATTGGAGTACGAATGCCCCTCGCTAGCTGTCGGTTTATAAATGATAATAATTATACTGTATATTACCATAATCTACTTACCTACTGGCCAAAGACCCTGAAATGTGTGAACATTTACGTGGACAAGAATAATCCAAAATAGGGAAAGTACCCGTATTCCGTGAAGATATGTCAGGTCACTTTTTGCAACGTTTGTATTCATAATCGCCTTAATATTACGTATCATTGAAAACGAATGAAGTATTTCACGAAATAAACCTAGAAAGGTGGTAAAATGCGTGTTAAATCGGACTAAAATTCACATATATACAGTGCAATTACAATGGCAATCTCGTTCCCAGGCTTTTCCGGCTTTTCACCTCACAAGAGAAAAAAGCCTGGGAACGAGGTTGTCAAAATGGCTGAATAACAATGTGCAGTTATAATTACATGAAGACTAGCAACTAAGGGAAACGCAAGATGTAATCTGTTTAGTATCTTATTTAGTATAATATTTGAGTGGTGTTATCAGTTAACAGCCTTGGTGTATTTTGTATTTTTTCGAATAATTAACAATCCCAAATCAGTATAGCTTGATCGCAGTATACAGGGTGTATAAAAAATAGACAATTTTGAAACGGCTCTCAATTCATAAACCCGCTCATTTCATGAAATGTTTGATAAATATATAGATTAGTTTGGTACTTATATAGAATTTTACAAAACATTTTCGTAAAAATAAATTTTCCAGAGCAGGGGGGTGTCATTTTTAGCGTGCGCGCGAAATTTAAAAGTTTAAAATGCATGATGAGTTCATGGGCGAGATATTTGTTGTGCGTTTTATCAATGATCCGAATATCAGAAAATTTACTCAATTTTAAGTCCTTAAATAGCTGCAGAAACATTCATTTGTTGGCACAAATGCAGTTAAATGCCTATCACGCATGTTTAATTCGTGCATTTACCCAACTTCGTACCCAGGGCATTTTGCTTCCACGTGCATGACGGAGGTCAGCAAGAATGGCCCTGGCATTGGCCAGTCACATGACCTCAAAATCTCCAGTATTTGGGGTGTTCAATTATGATAATTTATGCGTATAACTTAAGTCGAAATCCCGAATCGATGCATAGCTTTAAGGAATGCCGGAATACTGGTCATTATTCTCTGCAAATCACTTTTTTAACACAATTTATGTGAAAATGAAGCCACACTCTACACAATTTCTGAATAAATTTATATAACTATATATAATGCATTATTCAAAAGTTGTAAACAGTGTTTCATACAAAATATCATCGCATATTTCTAAAAAGTAATGTAACTATAAATTATCCCAATTGAAACTCCACTTTAAATATAAACAATATAAAAACTAAAGGTCATGTTCTTAAACCCAGACCCGAACTTGTATAAGAAAGTATTTGTACGTACACAATAAGATGACATAATATTGAAACACAATTCGCCTGAAACTATATATTAATAATAAACGTCACGCTATACGAAGCCAATAAAGGCACATTTTTCCCTAAAACTAAACTTACTCAGAAGGAAGGAAAGGAAATTGGGAGGAAATTGGGAGGAAATATTGTTATAAGGAGGGAAATACTGCATACGAGAAGAAAAGAAACAACATTTTTAAAAAACGCACGAAACGTTTCCAAAATGAAATATATTTGTTTCATTTTGTTTTCTTAACATACCTTGCTGGATATCTAACTTATTCTATTATCTTCAAAGCCAACTTGTGTTATTGTCTTCGCAAAATGATGTCAGTCCGATCACAACTGACGCTGAATAACTAATTAATCCTGTTTTATGAATTGTGTATAGAGAGAGCAAAATATGGTAAAAAAGCGAGACAGGGGATAATTATATAGAAAATAATACATGGGTGCTTGGAAATACCAGATTTATTTCGAGTGTTGAAATAGATCTGGTATTTCCAAGCACCCATGTATTTTTCTGTAAAGGACAGTCTTTGAAAAGCGATAATTTTTACAGAAAAGCGATAATTGAAAAGCGATAATTTTCACATGTGAGATTATCATGAATAATCTCACATGTGAGATTATCACTTTTATCAGTGCTCGAAATCTCTATAAAGCACTATACTTTATATAATAAATACATTTCTTCACAAAAATGCTCACGCCAAATATTTTCATAACCCATTGATGACACCCTTGTGTATTGTTGTCGACATATAATCGGCCAGCTGGTGTTGACGGTGTTGGCTGTACGTACGTGATCACCGGCATCAGGCACATTTTACGTTTATTTTTCGAAAGTTAATTTAGTCGGTGTAGAATACATGTACTACATAATTATGTCGAATTGGATTTTTGGCACCTTTTCAGTGAACACGTGTTGTTCCGATATGAGACTTGTAAATAACCCGGCCATTTTAATGATTACGTTGTTAATTAAAATAAATTATTTTAAAAAGTTTTACCGCTGGCAGTGACTTCAAAAAGTACCGGCAGTCATCCAGCTTGCTCGCGCATGAATATATTTTGAACAACGCATGACTTTTATATATCAAGAATTGACTATAACTGAGTGTCAATCTAATTAATATGCCGTTTCATTTACATCAATTTATCCATTGTACACTAAGTATAACTTAATGACTGTGTTGTGAACTCTTCGCAACACAAAGACACGGACAATGTTCTAAGGTTTATTTCGTACAAGTTTTAATACATTTTTATCGTATTATTTGGCTGTCAAAATAGTTGTTGTTCCCTTTTGTCCTCGACTTTCGATCGTATGATTAAAACAACAACACGTGACCAAAATTAACCTAATTAAATATTAATTAATTAGCATGCATTATGCAGTTC